AGACCAATGCCATACGCGTTGTGGAAACGGAAATATAACTTCCGCAATGAGTCCAAGTCACTAGGAAGTCCCTCCGAAGCTAACATTAATTTGATGCTGGTGTTAGTGTGCCCATCAAAACACACGGTGGATGGTTGGTCATGGAGATAAGCCAGGAATAGCCTAAGAGCTTTAAGAATGGCAGGATCTCTTAGTCTAGCCAATAAATATCGACCATCAGCTGTATCAGAAGCTCGCGATAATCGCACAATGGGTGGAGTCATCGGGTCCATGATTGATTCATCTTTTTTTCTACTTGTATCCATAACAATTTTTGTGCTGTCTAGTGCCAGGGACTTAGAAACAGCTATAGCCTCGCTGTCAGAACCAATCCTGATAGTTTTATCATCCTTAGTCGGGTTAATCGGGGTTGAGTCAGAGTTTAGTGGTCTACTTCGGCCCTCGGCAGTGTTGGGTTTGAAATGGTGATGAGACTGATGCTGTGGATCTACTGTAATTGCTGCCGACGGTGGCGATGCCTTTAAAAGTGTTGCAGATGAATTAGCAGTCTCTATACCCGTACCTGGAGGCCACATGCTTCTGTCCAAAAGCTGCTTTAGGTGATTTTTGTTTTGAACGCCAACTTTGAAATCAGTGTGAGAGCAGTCTTTATTTTGGAGCATTGGAAAGCATCTGATAAACTCCGTGGTTCCAAGTTTTTCCTTTACAAAATGAGCAAGCTGTTTTGCTGTAAAAGGATGGGGGATTTTTGACACTACCACATAATGCCAGTTTTCTTTTAGGGCGGAATTCTGAGGTGGGGGACAGACTCGGGAATCAATGACCACTTGCGTAACAGGGGATGTCTCTTCACTATCGGTCTGGGTTGAAATCGACGCTGTAATTGACTTTTTTACAGGTGGCGGGCTGCTCCTAGTAGACGGTTTCTCCTTGCCTGCTAACTTTTCCAACGTGAGCGCCATTTGGTTGACACATTTCCTCAAATCTGCAATTTCCCTTGTTAACTCTTCTTTTGAAGAGTCATGTACCTGAACCTTTATAGACTCATCATGACCGTCCATGAAGATCGACGAAATGTTGCACAAGTCTCGTTTCATTTCCCTAATTGAATGGAATAGAGATTGTTGTCCACTCTCAGAGTACTCAGAATGGTGGTTGTGTATGTCATCCACTTTCTTGGATAAGTCGCTCCACCTGGAATCATGAGCGCTTAAGGTGTCGTAGATTTCCGAAATGACCGGATGAAGTTTTTCACTGTTCTTAAGACATGCACCCAGAGCCTCTACAATTTCCAGAGGGATTTGGCCTTTCTGTAGCTGAGACACTTTATCGTGAAGATATTTTAACGTTGGAGAATCACAGACACTACAGAAAAATCTAATATTGTGATACTTTTGTTGGCAGAGCATCTTTGTTGTCATTTTATCCAGACCAGTGCAGCTCATACAGAAATGCCGGCGACATTCACCGCTACAGCGAAGTTTATACTTGTCCTTGTCAGAGGTGATTTTTTGACAGGAGTCACACTTAAACTCGGCCATTTTTGCACAAAAAAAAGCAACGACGCAAGGCTGAAGTTCAATACACGCAAGGTTCAAGTTCAATAATTTCACAGGAACATTACCGGTAAAACAGGAACTAGTTTATAAAACAGGAACTAGTTTAAAATTAATTTAGCGAAAGTACACGCACAGCGAACAATAACACTTCGATGTGTTGTTGGTTCAAAACAAAACATCAAACAAATCAAATCAAAACAAACAAAACAAACATTCAACACCCGCAGAGCCTACGAACGGAAAAACACAACCGTCCCGTATGACTGCTGAGAATTGAATGGAAGCTTATGAGAATGACTGAATCAGTTAATATTGATAAATTAAAACAGCTATTTTCTAGATATAGACTTCCTGATATTGTTAGATCAGATAACGGTCCCCAATTTAAATTGAATTTAAAAAGTTTTCCTCCGAATATGATTTCAAGCGAGCTGATGTTCAGTAGAAAGATGCGCTCTTTTATGCCTCTGTTACCAAGTCAACTCACCAATCCTATTGACACACAATTTTTGGCACAAAGGGAAAGTCAGGCTAAAGAAAAGTCTATCAAACAATTTAATCACAGACGCCGCTCTAGAAATTTATCTGATTTAAAAGTTGGAGATTATGCCTGGGCAACTGATTTAAGAGTTTACGCAAAAATTATAGAAATTTTGGATGAACCTCGTTCGTATGTAATTGAATCAAAATCAGGAATTTATAGAAGAAATAGGTGGCACCTGATACCAGCGCCCTATTATACTCAGTACTCAACTCAGCAACAGTTAGTCTCGACTTACTCCACCAGATAATCAGCAAACTCAATATTGTAACAATAAGAATAGTTTAGAGATACCGGAAACCGAGGAAGTGCAGTGTAATCCTAATGAAACTGGACGTTTCGGGATCTTGTTTTCAAAAAGTGTCTGTTTCCCCAAAACCTAATGTTAATCCGAACGTGACTGTTTCCCCTAAAAATGACTTCAGGAAACTCCAATTTAAGACCTAGGCGGGAATTAAAAAAAACCTAGCTACTTGGATGATAACGTATGTGGGTAGATTTAGAATTTAGATGAGTAGATGTAAAAAAAGGGAGATTTTCTGTCAGTAACTTTGGCTGATGGCAACACTGCAACAGCTGATCGGTGTGAAATGAGCCAAGGATATTGGGAGCGGGAGTTGACCTTACTGAGGAGAAGCATGCCGGTGGGCAGAAGGTTTTTTAGTTTGAATGACCGGTCTTCTCCTTCTCTCGAAAATGTACCTTTGTTTCAAGTCAATAAAGTTGTTATTATTCTACAAACTATCAAGTGTTTATGTCGAAGAATCCGCTAACATTACAGAAAGGTGTTGGATTAGGGTTAAGAAAATATGTACAATTTTAATTAGAAATAATAACTGTTAAATGGGTATTAAAAATACTGTAGGTCCACCTAGATAGTTTACTAATCCTTGAATAGTTGATACTGATCGAACTGATTCGAGATCAGTGTTTCCGTAAGCAGCTATAATTTATCAGAATGTCATGTGTCAATAATTCTGACGACAGCTAGGGATTGTCATATTTGACAAAAAATCCATTGTATAGAAGACTCATCTACCCAAAATAGCGAAAAATTACAAGACCTGTTAATCGGGTGTCCCACTTTTTAGGCTCACGACTGTACAGGGTGGCCCATTTTCGATGTTTTAATAGGCTATATCAAAAATCAGCAGAGATATCAAAAATCAGGGAGCACATTCTCGAGCTCTTTTTTTGAAAAAATAACAATGGCGAAGACAAATCACGGCTAACTTGATGCGTTTAGGAAATACAGGGCACTTTTCAAATTTTGTCCAATTTTAAAGGACTCTCTAATTTCTTTATTATTCAAGATATCCAAAAACGAAAAATACTTTCTATAGGCAGTTTTTCAAGGAGAATCCAGTGGCATGACCAATTTTTCTCGAAATGCCTCCGATTTTGGAATATTGACCAAAGTTGTGTTTTTTTGAATGGGACACCCCGTATATTATTTTTTCCATTTTGAATAGCTCTTTGTGAGCTGATTTCGATGATATAAGGTTTTATACCTTTACCTTCAATAGTTTTGGAGAAAAAAAAAAAAATCTGTTTTTTCCATAAGAAACAATGAGTTAGAAAGAGATAGTTGAACTATGAATCGGCGACAAATTTCTTAATTCTTAATTTAATTTTTCAGTTCAGCTAATTTTTTTAAATTTGAACTATGAATCTGGGGTGATAAATAAGAAACGCATAATTTTGTAGGCTTTGCCTCCAGAATATCAATAGATATAGTGTAGACCAGCAATACGTGAAAAGGTAGTTGACAGTAGTTGTCCCAGAGACAGATAATTTTATAAGTTTGTCAATTTTCATTCAATTTTTCACAATTAAAAAGTATATATTATTGATTACAGAGTGAACTTTCATTTAAAATTTTTGTTAAACTCGCTAAGGCCTCCTACAATTTATTTAATGACTTATCTCTCTCTAGCTCATTGTTTCTTATGGAGAAACGGAATTAATTTTTTTTCTCCAAAACTATAGAAGGTAAAGGTATAAAACCTTAAATCATTGAAATCAGCTCACAAAGAGCTTTTCAATGAAAAAATAATATACGGGGTGTCCCATTTAAAAAAAAAACACAACTTTGGTCAATATTCCAAAATCGGAGGCATCTGAAGGAAAATTGACTCTGCCACTGGATTCTCCTTAAAAAACTGCCTATAGAAAGTATTTTTCGTTTTTGGATATCTTGAATAATAATAAGGGAGACTTTTAAAATTGGACAAAATTTGAAAAGTGCCCTGTATTTCCTAAACGTATCAAGTTAGCCGTGATTTGTCTTCGCCATTGCTATTTTCTTAAAAAAAGAGCTCGATAATGTGCTCCTAAATTTTTGATATAGCCTATTAGAACATCGAAAATGGGCCACCCTGTACATACACTCTATTTTTTCCCAAGATAGATTTTGACATTGTCAACTCTGAAACATAAACAATACCGTGTGGCTCTGATTGGTCGCAAAATGCCTACCACCCTACAGGTGAGGTATCCTTTTACATGGTTGGAAACCGATACCTTCGTCGAGTGCAGGTACAAGGCATCTTGCGACCAATAAGCGCCATTGTTTATGTTTCAGAGTTGTCATGGTCAAAATCTATCTTTATGTAATGAAAATGTTTATACAAGTCAGGCAACGTCGCGCGCCGTTGCCAACCAGACACATCTGAAATTCCCCTGCTTTAAATGTGTTAAAAAGTACTTTTAGATTTGTTAAGTTAGCAGCAGAAATTGACTAAATGTGACGCCATCCTAAATATAGCGTAAAAATCCTATAATTGTGAAAAGTTCAAAATAAGAGGTGTTCTTACCCAGCCGGCGGCTGCAGCTACAGAAAACCAATAAACCAAAATGGCTTTATTATGCTCGTAATGCAAAACCAATTCTCCATTTACTCTAATATCAAAAATCCGTTCAGTCCATGTTAAATAATAATGCGTCCATTTATCGGTGTACAATAAATTAGCTACTTGTTTTTCTACTGCTAGAAAAATTTCTCCTGTTTTACCTCTAGGTGGGGTTACAACTATATAAAATCCAAGCATACCTTGGAAAAAAACATTTTTTCACTTCTATAAACTATCATTATAATAAAAATACACTGGAAACAATCAATTTGCAAGTTTATGAGTTCTTTGTATATTCCTCAACTAGGAAAATGCCTTACCTTTGACAGTATCTATAAGGATCTGATAGGCCTCTAGACTATTGACCACCCACAATAAAGATATCCAAGTTTGGCCATAGCCACGCATTTTTAAAGACAAATTAGTGTGAACAACGTTTTCACTTTCAGAGTAGAGACCAATGGGAAAAAACTTCAAGAAATTATTGTCTGTAGTGTTTTCTGTATGGCATTCATCTTTGTTCTAGAAAAAATAACTTCTTAAGATCCCGAACTAAATCAATTAATTTTTTTCTGTAGTAGTTTGTTGAAGAAGACCAATCTTACCTCGAAAAAAACTCCAATGGGCATTAAATTGAACATAGAATAATAAGCAAGAAACATGGGTTCGAAAGCGTTCTCAATATCGGGTTGTTTCCATTCGAATAAAGACGTAGGAACTCCTTTGAAACCAAACATAATTTCACCTATAAAAGCCACAAAAATTTAACAATATATAGTTTTTTTGCTGAATAAATAAACCTTTTCTAATCTGTAACCAAAAATCATTCCATAAACCAGCTGTTACTAAATGTGGATATGTTTTAGACTCGATAAGTTTACCATCTAGCCGTAATTCTACTTTTTCATTCATTTCAGCTCCTAAAATCACATTCCAGAGCTCAAATTCCATAAACTAAACTATCTCACCAATAGTCAGCGCCAATTCACTGGACAAATCCCTTGGATAAAAACTGAAAATTATACCAGACAACAAATCGGGATTCCATTCTTTTAAAGAAAACCTCAAGCCACCATGAATACCTTCCTCTTTCCATTGAGGCAGAATATACAATTTTCTTCCATTCTGGTTCGTTGAAGTAATTATTATAAATTCTTCCGGCCTATCACAATCTTTAACGTTACATACGTCTTGGACTATGTCGGGGTCTAGAGTATAACACCAACTACCTATAATAAACTTTAGATGAGTCTACATTAGTCAGAAAACTTGGTGGATTTGAAATGACAAATGCTCAGGAAATAAATAGTAAAATGTATTTGTTTGGGCTTTTAGCACAGTTTCTGTTGCAATTATATTGTTTTTATTGTTTTTAGATCTCAATCATATTATCCATATATAAGATTGAGTTCCTTGGACACATATTTTTCATAAATATATATTTCCATATACAGTTTAGAGTTTAGAGCATCAATGGAGTTTGCAGTTATTCGAAATGAATTCAAATTACTTAAATAATTGAACTATACCTACCTGAAATATCTCTGCTAGGGTTTCGACAAAAATTTTTGGCATCTTTCGATTTCATATCGGCAAAACTTGAATCATTGAAAGAGTACATGTATTTTTCATGGACTGTTCCTGGATGAACATCCCATGCATCACATTTCCGACCAGATCTAATATTAAAAACACTTTGTGTTAATACCAAGAACCTTGGATTTTGCCAAACTACTATTGCCCTAAGCTCACCTAGTTACTTCTACTTGTCCAATAAAATCATTGCCAGTACCAGCCATTTTACATTGGTCAGATTTGCAGTTCCTCACATGACAAAACTTCCTTTTAACTTCCTTCTTAGTAGTAGACTGATCCAAAGTATAACAAAAAGTCCCTTCGCCTGCTGATTGAGGATCCCTACAATAGTTTCTGGACTCCAAAGCCAAAGACGGATTTGTAAAGAGCCCGCTAACGTCATCGGGGATCATTTTTTGGCCGGACCAAGGCAAACATGGCAAACCTCTCCTAGTTATATCTTGAGTGCCATTATAGTTTGGTTCTTTAACGTTAATTGCACAATTTGGCAGCAGGGCTATGGGGGGTTGAGCGAAACGGGGTGGTGGACAGAAAAAAGTCCAATGGGCTACAGTGTTGTCAGAACTGACGCTAAACCAACGTAAAACTCTGAATATTTCATTAGTGGATTCTAATAGGGAGTGCATTCCAGTGGCCTTTTTCATGTAAATCTAAATACAAATTATTTTAAATTACTCATTTAATGGTAACAGAAAACCTACTTGTAAACTATTTGCAAAGAACGATATAGAAAATTCACGCCACTGCCAATAATCCACAATATTTTCCACTTGGAACTCTTTCAAAACTTGCTCAGCAGCTTCTGGATATTCTTTAATAGTGAATCTTGTGTAATTATTCGGTCCAAAAAAGACAATTTTAAAGTATGGATAGTCAATTGTCGGGGAAGGGGTGAATAGAATCGAAGCTGAATGGAAAGCTCGGATGTGGGTGTGCAAATCAAAAACTAAATAGTTGAGAATCTGATTAAGACTTAAAATCAATCCAGGCTTAATGTCCTAGAAACAACCTTTATTGAACCATCCTACAATTCACTTAGAATGTTCAGTATATTTATCTTAATATTATGAAATAGCAAACCCACTAAACACAGATCTTTTCATACCAATATCTTTCTGTCTCATAGGCCAAAATTGCTGAAATTGACCACCAGTGGTGGTCTGAACGTCACACTCATAATCGTCTAAACAAAACGGAAAGTTCCACAAGACATTGGTACCCTGCACGGCGTAAAAATCAAATTTGTCTTTTTGAAAACCCATTAAAGTATTCTTGGTTTTCATTTCTGCTAAGAAGATCGGTTTCACTTGTCCTTCGACACCAAACGTTATAAAACCTCGGTCCCAGTTTAGGGTAAATGTTGTATAGTTAGTTGAAGTTAGGATTCCTGGAGTGGGTTCGTATTCTGGCCTGTCCTTGTTACCAAATCTAATCAAAATAAATTAGCTTAGGGTACTTCAAAACATTCAATGATTCTACCTTAGAGCTGACTGTGTATTGGAAATAAAAATCTCGATGCCTATACCCAAATCACTAATTTCTTTACCAGTTAGTGGTAAGGCTAAAACACTTAATACCAAACGAGCACTGGCACTATCAAAATCATCTGAATCCCAAAGTTTAATTCCAAATTTGATATCAGTTAAGATACTTCCTGAAATTTACTCTTTTTGAAACGTGTTTTAAAAGGGACAAATTTACCATTAAAATCTGTATAATGCATATAAGTATCATAGTTTTTAGTAAAAACGGAACATTCTGGATCATAACAGAACGGGATATCACAGTATTCCTTTTCCATGTAGCCAGATTCTTCGTTTTCAACAAAGCACCAGGGACCGCCTAGAAGTTGCATTCAAACACTTATCTAACAAACTCCTTTATGAAAAAATAAACCTATATCTCCATCAGGGTTTCTACAATATTTTTTAGCTTTTGACCTACTAGTATCTGGAAAATTTGTATGGGGAAATTTTTCGATTCTTGTGTAATTTCCGTTTACCAATACTCTTTTTCTTTCTTTGTCCCATTTTAGACATCTTCTATCTGAAATCATTATTTTATTGATGTTTTTAAGAGGTCCACAGTTTTTTGAATAATGAGTAACAGTAACTTATTAATGGCCTACATCTCAAATGTTAGATGATAAATGTGTTTTTTCCTAACGGGGCTACACTCCACAAACCAAATGTTTGAAAAAAAAGAACTCGACATTTTCAAAAACATTCTTACCTGATACAGCCTTATCCAATGAACCTCCATACTCCATTCCAGGCCCAGTGAGTCTACATTCTGAAAACGAACATAACGGAACAGAACAAGTTTCGTCCATCAAATCTGGATTCATTGTGTAACACCAAAGACCTGTGGATTTTTTATCTAAAAATATCCAAATAAACTCAACATTAAGTCTTTACAATAAATATTAAGTCCTTACCGGGATTTCTACAATAATTCTTCGAAGCTTTTTTAGACGAAAAGGGAAACTTTTCATCGATTAAACTGTCATCAACTTTGTGAGGATTATTACTCGTCCAAGTCTGACACCGAACGTTTGACTCGGTTTTAGCAATATCCCCTGTATATTCAATACCTAAATGACTCACTTTACATAATGATAAATCAGTGAAATTTCCTGGCGGGGACTCGGGGAAACAAGGAAATATGAGACAAAAAATTAATAAAAGTTTCATAATTTTTGACATTTACCTTAAGCAACAACCAGTTACAAAAAACAGCTCATAGAACGTTTACCTTAAACTAATTAATTTACCTTTATAAACTTGTAAATCTTTGTAATTGATACAAACAGGACCATCAGGGATTAATTGGTGCAAGGAAGAACTGTCAGTGAGGGCGTCGCCTTTTAAACTATCACTGCGACATAAGAGAAGTGGAGAAACATCTAAAATATTGTAAGTTTAATAAATTTTGTCTAAATTAATAATTTTTCTTACCATATTCTGAAGGTGGCAGGCATTCTTTGAGATAAATATTTGCTTCAGGATCATTGTATGATTGTATAAGCTGCTGGATGCTCTTATATCTTGTAACATCATCGTGAAATATAAATTCGTCATCCTTAATTCGTTCTAGTTTAAAAGTTTTAGGTTTCGAACTGTCCCTTACGCATATATCAATGTAATATGTGTTGTAGCTGGTTTCGCTTTCACGAATAATGAAACAGCCGAATTTGTTTGAAGTTTTCGCTTCTAACTTGGCATAAGAGAATTCTCCACTGAAAATATTAATTCAGAATTATTATTTATTGATAACAGAAACTACCATTGAAATATATCAAATTCAAATTTAAAAAAGCTTTATTTTCCAAAGTACATAAAGTTCTCATTGACAAAGCACTTAAAAAATTCTGCCGTTATTCTGACTGCAAAATACCCAGATATTTTATTCGTAAGAATGACAATCTGAGATTTAAAACTCAATTCACTGTCAATAATAACTCCCAGAAACTTAGTCTCAGGTCGACATTGGATAGAAATATTGTAGACGTTAGCAAAATATTTGTTTTAGATAAATTTAGCACTAAAAATAGAAAAATCGCATCATCTGTATTGCGATATTCTGAAAAGCCAAATTGAAGAGAACCAAGAACTTTATTTGTATTCAAAAATGAGACCACTGTACTTCTAACCAACTTTTCTAAAATTTTGGATAGATAGTTGGATCTCCTAAATCTCAGCTCTTGTGAAATGGAATTACTTTTGCCAGCTTGAAGGATGAAGAAAAGACATCAGAGCTCTTTTTATTTCTAATACTTCATACGATCTGTTTTAACTCTTACAAGATAGTAGGAAAAAAGTAAAAGGAATTATTGAACCCTGCATTATTTAGAAAAAAACTAAGTGGATCAGTATGTTGAATAATATTTTTTGTCAGAACAGTGAAATTTGTTGAATGAGTCAGGAGACATGTCACTATCTATCATTGATTCTTGGGGAAAGCTGGCTTTTCTTACAAATTTTGTTTATAATCGACCAACTTTTCCTCTGTTGGATGCATTTGCATAGGGATGTAAGCCAATTTTTCTGACAATGTCATGTCACAGTGTGTGTCACAGTCAAAATGGAAATGACAGTCACATCATTTATTTTCATGACACTCTTGTCATTTATCTTTTTATGGATTACATTTTCTGACGGTCAAAATAATAACTGACCGTCATTAAAATATATGACAGTGTCACAAAAATATCAGTTGACTTTCAATTTTTACTGTCAATCTTATGGAGGATATGGAAGCTGTACTTTCTAACTCATTAGAGAAAGATGTCATTTGTGGGCTCCATAGAACATTTTAATGTGAGTGAAGGCGATTTCGAGTCTTATAGGGAGCGGATGGAGCAATTATTCAAGGTAAATAATACAAAGAACGAAGACAAAGGCATTTATATCTTTGATTGGCCCAGATGCTTACAAGTTATTAGAAAGTCTAATGCGGCCTGAAAGCCTTACGTCAAAATCTTTTATGTGTGAATATGGGAGCTTGCTTGACAAGGCTCTAAGAGATCGTTTCGTTTGTGGTATTTGATATGAGTCAGTCGTACAGAGATTATTGACAAAGGACAATTCATTAAAATTTGAAGAAGCTTGTAAAGAGGCATTGAATTATGAAATGTCAACTATACAATCAAAATTAGTCTTTCCACAAAGTAGTGTCCATCAAGTTAAGGCACAAAGCATTTATCAGCGTCAGCAGTGGAAAAGAAGCAACAAAAGTTCAGTCAGCATCCAAGTACAAGCCAGTCAAACAGTCAAAACCGTCCACAAAATAAGAGTAAAGTGGAACCAAAATAATCAAGCACAAAGTGGTTGTTTTCGCTGTGGAAGACAGCACAATCCGGATACATGTCCTGCAAAAAAACTGGGAATGTTTTGTATGTAAACGCAAAGGTCACACGATCTAGGTGCTGCAGACAGAGGTCCAGAGAAGTCAAATATGCTGAAGGTGAAGAAAATTCAGAGTCTGAAGAGGATGATTAGCAATGTTCTAATTTGAATCTCGAAGAATATGTGTCAATATAGAATTTCAAGTGAATGTGTAATCGTTAAGATCAGTGTCGAAAACAAAAACATTGGGATGGAAATCGACACAAGAGGCAGTGTAAGTGTGATTTCTCAACAAGATTTTAAGAAGTATTTTGGTCATTTAGCATTAGGTATCTAAATACTAGCAATTTATCAATAAATACTGTGGCAGGGGATAAATTGTTACTCAGGGGTCAAAATATTGTCAAAGTCAAGTCAAATTTTCGAAAATATTGATTTTTTACCACTAATTGTAGTCAAAACTGGTAAATCTTTTAAACCATTATTGGGTAGAAATTGGTTAGACAAGCTGAAGCCAGCTTGGAGGTCAATGTTTAATTTCAGTCAAAATGTCGAAAATTTTAACTTAGAATCTAAGGCAAATGTCACTAATATTAGTGATAGTCGGTCAATTTCAATAAGTCAAGGTTCTGGTCTTGAAACTGTAAGCTTGTCAGAGCCAATCAAAAATAAGCAATAGTCAGGTGTCAGATATTAAGTCAAGGAGTCAATCCAAGGTAGCGGGGGAAAAATTTCTTTGATGGCCAGAATGAGTCACTTATCAAAAATTAAACTATTATCAGTCAAAACTTCCTTAAATAGTCTAAATTTGTCAAGGAATGAGTCGAATTCTATTCTGAGTCATATGGAAATCCAGACTACATTAAAAAAAATTGAGAAGACTTATCCAATATAATAATAGAAAAAGTCATATTATAGGTTTTGAAGCTAATTTGGTAGTTAAAGAGAATTCAAACAAGATTTTTCATAAGGTTTATTCTGTGCCCTATTCTTTACGAGAAAAAGGAAAACAGGAACTAGAAAGTTTAGTGTCAGAGGGTATTTCAATTCCTGTTAATCATGCTGATATAGCTAGTCCTATAGTTGTGGTACCAAAGAGGAACAATCCGCATCAGAATTTGTGGGGATTTTAAGAAAACTGTTAATCCGATTTTAAAAATAGATCACTACCCCCTTCCAATTCTAGACGACTTGTTTTTCTCAGTATGTTTAGTGTATTGGATCTCTCCAATGCTTATCTTCAGTTGTCAGTTAATAAGCAAAGTCAAGAGTTACTAACAATTAACACTCATATTGGATTATTCAAATATACTAGTAGACCGGTGCATAACGACCATTTTTTTGAAACGATTTTCTCCCGTCTGCCATTAAGGGTGGTTATTCTTTATGCAATAAGAAGTGGAATGGCTGAAATTTCGAAGAGCCCCGCGTGTGACAATACAATGATATGCTAATTTGAAAATGTAATGAAAAGTGGAGATTTGGATCAATATTATCCCGTCTGCCACACATTGTGAAGGTAATTTAAACAAAAATGAGTACAAGGAAGCTAAACGGCGGAAACCCTAGGTTAGTATAGAGTGTCATATTACTAATTTCAAAATGTCGCCAAAATCGGACATGTGGGTCAACGACCTCCCGTCTGCCAAATTAAATTTATGTTTAATTCACGATGTAATACATCAATAAGTAAATGGCAGAAAATCTCGGTTGGTATAATAATTTTTAACAATTTTTGAAGTTGTATCAAAATGCTGAGATGTTGAAACAATTTTCTCCCGACTAAAACATGTTTTGTTACAATGGATTTTAGATAAATAATGTACCTTTGCATCGGCAGAAAAATTGAAGTGATACAGATATTTATTTTTAATTTTTCAAAATGTCAAAAAATTTCAAATTTGAGATCAATTATTTCCCGTCTGCCATTAATTTATATTAAATAAGTTGCTACCAAAAGCCTAAGTTTTGACTGGCAGAAATTGCAGACTGGTACAAGTCCTAATAAACAATGAAAAAAATTATGACAAAAATTGTTCATATGATGAACGTTTTTAGCCCGTCTGCCATTTGGTTAAGTGAAATGTAGTTGTGAGAATATGCATATTTTCAATATGGCAGAAACCGCAATAATTTACATATATCCTATTGAACTATCCAAGATGCTGTCAAACTTGAATTAAAATGGCCGCCAAGAGGCACACAAACCCTTTTTTTATGTGTCATTCAATGTGTCATGAAATTTTTTTCAAAAAAATAGTGCTCATTGTGCATTTGCGTTTTGATACTCGTTCTCTTTACTCGTATTTTTATTTATGTTAGAAATAGAACAGATCCCTAGGGCACTCCTGCAGTGATATCCAACCCCTCTGAAGTACTGCACCCCTAGAAGCAGTACTTCATGACAGACACAATCGAAAGCTTTTTTCAGGTCACAAAAAACTACCGCGGCCACTTCTTCGTCATTTATATTCTAATACAGCTCATCCAGGAGATAAAATATGTCATCATCAGTGTTTTTTGACTGCTGAAACAGAGACAGAGAAAGCAATTTATGTCTTTCAAGGAAGCTCACCATCCACCTTACTCACAATTTTAGTCTAAGTTGCCAGTAAGGATATTGGCCGGTGATAAGATGGTAAATTCTTATCACCCCCCTATTAAACAAAGGTACTACCCAAGATTGCTTCAAAAATGAGGGAAAACTTCCGGTAAGAAAAGAATTAGGCAATCTCAATCACGTGATTTTATAATGGCCGTTCGGGTCAAATATTGCGGTGACAAGCCGATGACGTTCATAAGGAGAGCATTTGTGTTCTGGCCCTTGTTGCTTTCGAAGTGAATTTTATGTGTTTCTACGTATTTTCCATTGGTTTTGGTCATATTGTTGTTTTCATAGTGAATTTTATAGTTTTTAGTATGTCTACGTATTTTTTAGTGTTCTGGTCCATGTTTACAAAGAGAATTTTATAGTGTTTATAATGTTTCTACGTATTTTTTAATTTAATAATAAATTCTGAGATGGAGAGTGAATATCTTAAGGTATTATTATTAAGGGAAAATCGAGCCTCTGTTAGATCCTTTCTTTTAATTGCAGCAATCCATAAAGCCCTACGTTGTTTTGATAATTCACTTTTGTAGATCAAAAGCCGATGATTTAAAATAGCAGGAACTGAATAAAATTTCACATTCACATGTTACCTCAACTTCCACACCCAATTACGATGCAAATCGCTGGCATTTTATTTAACACAATACCTACCTAAACACACAAAAAAAAACACAAAATCCGATAATTCAAATCTTGACGTTTGTCCAGAATGTGACAGAAGTCATTGACTTGACCCGAACTTCCATATTGAATTTCGTTTTTGACAGGTCAGTAGATTGC